GGGGGGGGGGGGGGTGGTCGGGAAAGGCTGAAAAGTAGCTAAAGTGCAGATTGTTTGGTGTCATCTGTTGATTTTGTTAACTTACACAATCTTTGCCCTCCATTACCCTGAGCAATTGAGAGTTGGCTGTCGCTGCATCTTCAGGCTGCAAAATGTTCATCCGAGCCCATTCTCATTTGGCAAAACCTGCCCTGAAGCCCAGGCAAACTAAGGTCCTCGAGAAAACTCCCAGCAGTGTAGGCAGCTGCCGCGGGGTCTCTGTCCCTCGGTCCCGACAGCAGCATCAGTAAAGACGAGTGGTACCAGTAGGGAAACTGAGGCTTCGGGAAGCAAAGGGGTCTGCTCAGGACACCTAAGAAGTTGGGGGAACAGCCAGCTACAAAACCCCTCCCTCCGCCCCAGAAATGGGTTCATTCTCATCTGAGGCTGTTTCTAACACCCTCCCGTTAAGGAAAACCTAAGAGCACGTTGTTACCACCCCTGCCTCGCGTAGCCAGGGCAGTGGGCTTTCAAAATCCCCCATCACGTCGTCTCGGGACTTTAAAGTCTCCCCAGCCAATATGATGCAGGCTTTTCCCCACAGCTGACTCACGCTCTGGCCAACAGAGCTTGGGCTCTGCACCCTTAAAGTACCTCTGAGCTGTTTTAGGGACCCAAGGGGTCCCAGAAAAGCCACCATTTGGGATCAGGGCTTTTAGCCTGGAGCCCACTCTTTCTGATATCTAATCCAGGACGCCCCCCATGGAGTTCTCCAGACAAAAGGTCCCTTCCCCACTGGGTTGACGAAAGCTTGGGACGGCTGGGTCCAGAGGAAACAGCCCTCCGGGTAATCGCCGGCCCTCTCCCTTTTCACTGTGTCTCTGAGGCTGTCTTCGCCACAGCTGCTGCCCCGGCAGGCAGGCAGAGACCCCCGGGCAGCTTTCTCCTGGTGGCGGCTTAATCCACCCGACTTCGGGGTCAGAGGCCCAGGAGAGGAGTAGGTGGGCTGATCCTCGGCTCACGAGGCTGGACGCCGTGGGAGAGGAGTGGGGTGGTCGCCAGCTTTTCAGCTTAAATGTAAGATTCCCATTGACAGGCGAGCCCGGAGCAGGGAATTAGGAGCTTTGCCACGGAGGCACTGCGTGCTAACGCCTGGCGCCTTCCCGTAATGATAAATCCTGCTTACGTTTCCTCGCACCAAGCTGGGCTCCCAAGGAACGCCTCGTGTGCTCTGGATAAACCATCAGCTTGGCGTGCAGGCTTTTCCTTACTGATTGATTGCCATCTACTCCATGAGGGTGCGGGGCTCTTGAAAAGAGGGAATAAATCTGCACGTGTGTGGCCTCAGCCCTGGGGACCCGAACCCAGGCTGCCTTCATTCGCTGCGTCTCTGGTTGGCCCTGGCTTTCTGTTTGGCCGACGCGGCAGCTCGGGTGGTAGAAAAACAAAGCCGAAGGGGCTCTCAGAGATGGGCCAGGGAGAGCCCCCCCCCCTTTTCTAAGTGGGGAAAGTGAGGCACAGAGTCGGGGCGGTGGGGGGAGGAGGGAGCTGAACTCGGCAGCCGGCTGGAAATGGGCACAGAAAGGGTCTCTCCCTGGCCAGGCCTGGGGGCTGGGGTCTCCACTGTCAGAGAGCCCCTGACCCAGGCCCCTTTGTTCAGCCCGTCCCTGCCTTGCTGAGCCCCGAATAATGAAGTGTGCGTGACGGGAGGTGTAAAACGGTGGTGGAAACACACCAGTGTTCATGGAAACCCGTGCTCACAGGCGAGCACTCGATAGAAGGCAATTGCGTTGCTTTCAAAAGATGCAGCCTTTTAATCCTGGACCCCCTTCGTTCAGAGAGACCACCGAGAGGTGGAGGCGGTGCTGGGGCGAAACCAGGTCTCTTGATTCCCGACAGGGAGCTTTACATCTCACTTCCCCCCTGCTTCTCTTTGATGGAGGAGTGTGAAGGGCAGCTGACGTTGCTAACAAACAGTTGGGCTGCACTAGCCCCCCCGCACCCGAACGGCAAGGACCCCCTTCAAACACAAGAGACTTGTCTGGGAGGCAGCCGTTAGGGAATCTCAGCCCAGCACAGTTTTTGGGGGAGGGAAGGGGTCTGCGGTGAAGGTCAATGTGGCTGGACCGAAGAGGTGACCTGGTGCCAGCAAAAGGGCACAGCTGGCCTGTTGAATATTAGTGAGTGGCCGTGACTTTCTGTCTCTGTGACCCTTGAGCTCCCTGAGCTGTTTACTTATATCAGGGTTCGGGGTATCGCTACACCCTCTTCCTCAGGACCCCGCTGGGTGACCCTTGGCAGTGGACACAAGCAGAGACATCTCGGCAGCTCACACGGGGTCGCCCTCGACCAGATGGAGGGGGCTCTTCCTGTCCCCACCCAGGATGCTCTCCGTCCAGCATCTGTGTCCTCCTCATCTCCCTGGTTCTCTGTCCCCACAGACGTTCGGGCTTGCGCCTCGACCCCCTGTGCCAACAACGGAACCTGTGTGAACCTCGATAACGGCCAGTACGAGTGTTCCTGTGCCCCTGGATTCTCAGGAAAGGACTGTCAGAAGAAGGGGGGGCCCTGCGTGATGAATGGGTAAGTATTCTCTCGGGGCTCTGTGTGCTCTGACACATGCCGCTTTAGATTCCTGTTTCACACCCACTAAAGACCCTTTCAGCCTAACCCAGTCGGACCTGTCGCCTGACAAAAGACCGAGTAAGTGCTCATCCTGCACCCTGTGGGGGGCTGCCCTGGATCAGGGCATGTATGGGGGAGTGTGTCATTTACATAATTTTTTCAAACAATCCTGAAGGCGATTTCATATTCCCCTGACGTTCCCAAGTCCTGACGTGTGTGAATGAGAGTAGATTGGGACTGTGAACCAGAGCTCGAGCTGCATAATTTTCTAAAGGCGACATAACAAGAGATCAGAGTTCGGCAGCGCCTGAGGCTGTTTGTGAAACCCGCTCACCGCGTTTTAGGGGCGGGTTTGGGGGAGCTGGTGGGCTCTGCTTTTGGGTTTTCTGGGATGTCTTAGGAGGTGGGGAGAGGGGGCTGCAGCCAGCACGGGGCCCCGGAAGGCGGGGTGTTCGGCCCTCAGCTCCCCTCGTGGGGAGGGGGCTCTGGGGCTCTGGGCAGCGCGCCTAGCAGATGGAACGGCCCCTGGCCTCTCTGGTGTCTCTGAGCGGGTTTCCCAGCAGCTCAGCCATTTCCGGCCCTTATCTGCTCAGTGCACGGAGCCAGTCCCACCCTCCGAGGGGTTTTAAACAGAGACCAGGGGAGATCTCGAGAGAGGCGAGAATTCAAAGTAGACTCCAGGCCTGGGCCAGTAGCTGTGGGTAGGGGCGCCCCCATCCCCTGAGGAAACCAAAGCGTAAATGCATTCCAGGGGTGGAGCAGAGAGCCCCGAGCCGCAAGGACCAGGAACCAGCATTCTTGCAGCATCTCAAGATCAGTATCCTGGGCGGGCTCAGAGGAGAGGGGTGACCACCGAACTCCATTTCTGCTTGCTGGTGGGAAGGGGAAATACGGAGCGAGACCTTTAAAATATTTTGCTTTTCTCTCTAACAGACTGGAGCCAGTCTGTCAAAATAGAGCCCAAGGTCCTTGAAATTCCTTCAGAGCCCCGGCTCCTATGCCACCCTCATCCCTGAAGCAGCAATGCTGATTTCTTGCGCTGGGAGCCCCTTTCTTCCCTGGAGTTTTGGCATTTATCAGATGACAAAGGGTCTGCTCGTTTAAAAGCACTTACATCAAATGCTCTGTGTGCTCTGCTTTGAGCAAACAGCTTCGGTCTGCAAGCTGCACTTGGGTGAATGGGCCACTATTAAACAGCCGGGCACAGACACCGCTCCAGCCGGTGCAGACAGAGCGCGTATTTCTTTTACTCTGAGAGTCCCTAAGGGTTTCCTGTACAATAGCCCGCAGGCTCACTCCGCTGAACATAAAAATAATAATAAGGGGTTGGGGATGGTGGAGGTGGGAGACACTGAGGGATGCCTTGCTTTGCTCGGCCTCCACGGCCTGGGGGAGCTGACGGGGGCAGCTGGCTGCAGCCCTGGGGTGTCACTAACTTTGCCTCTCTCAGCCTCAGTTTCCCCACCTGTGCAGTGACTAACCGTCAGGCCTCTGGTCAGAGAGGTGACCTAAGAGGTGGGAGAGGAGATGGGCATCCTGACTCGGGAGGTCAGGCATGTTCCAGGCTGGCAGCATGATGGGGGTGAGGCACACACCCCACTCGTGGGGGGGGCCTCCCACCTCGGATGGCCCTGGAGCCCCTCGCAGGCAGGGGTCACGGTGCCCGGCGCTCCCCGGGGCCCCCCTGGCTGGCTCTCACGCCCTCACCTCGTGCGTTCTGAGCACCTGCCCTCTTGTCGGGCCCCAGGAGGTTTGCCACGTGGCACGAGGGGGAGCGGAGCGTCTGTCCCCACTCCCAGCACCACTGTCCTAGCGCAGTGCCCGAGGGCCCTTTACCGTGTCCCCCTGTTGTGTTGCAGTTCGCCCTGCCAGCACGGAGGCAGCTGCGTGGACGATGAGGGCCGGGCCTCCCATGCCTCCTGCCTGTGCCCCCCTGGCTTCTCAGGCAATTTCTGCGAGATCGTGACCAACAGCTGCACGCCCAACCCGTGCGAGAACCAGGGCATCTGCACCGACATCGGGGGCGACTTCCGCTGCCGTTGCCCCGCCGGCTTCATGGACAAGACCTGCAGTCGCCCCGTGTCCACCTGCGCCAACGAGCCGTGCCTCAACGGGGGCACCTGCCTGCAGCACTCCCAGGTGAGGTTCGGGTGTCTGTGCAAGCCCGAGTTCACGGGCCCCATCTGCGGCCGGAAGCGCGCGGCGGGCCCCCAGCAGGTCACCCGTCTGCCCAGTGGTTACGGGCTGACGTACCGCCTGACCCCCGGGGTGCACGAGCTGCCGGTGCCGCAGCCCGAGCACCGCATCCTCAAGGTGTCCATGAAGGAGCTCAACAAGAGCACTCCGCTCCTCTCCGAGGGTCAGGCCATCTGCTTCACCATCCTGGGCGTGCTCACCAGCCTGGTGGTCCTGGGCACCATGGGCATCGTCTTCCTCAACAAGTGCGAGGCCTGGGTGTCCAACCTGCGTTACAACCACATGCTGCGCAAGAAGAACAACCTGCTGCTTCACTACAACAGCGGGGAGGACCTGGCCGTCAACATCGTCCTCCCCGAGAAGATCGACATGACCACCTTCAGCAAGGAGGCTGGCGACGAGGACATCTAAGCAGCACTCCCACCGGCCCCTCTCTGTTCTCGGGGTCCCGCAGAGCTCACTATATGCGGTCTGTTCTCATCTTTGTGGTGGAGTTTGCTCTCCTTTGTGTCAAATCCGGTGAACGCTATGCTTCCCTCTATTATCTTTGTGTTGCAGTGTGACAAACGCAATGCCAGAATCCGCTTTCTCTCTTCTTAATGCATGATACAAAAAAAATAATGGTAATAATAATGTCATCTTTAAACGAGTAAGAGAAATAAGTATGTTATTCTAGACTCTAAACCTAAAATCAAAAAGACCAAAAAAAAACATGGCAACAGAACCAGGGCTCTGTGCCGACGTCCCTCTCCGAGGGGTCTCGGCCACAGGGTCCTCGTGAAACCGTTACGAGTGCTGGCATGACCAACCACTGTGAAAAGGGCTAAAATCTCTTTCGTTCGTTAATTCTCACACGCCACTTCCAACTCGCACTCACATCAACGCCGCAAGCCCTTCAGTCTTTCCGATTGAGTTGAGGTCCAGCAGAGTGCAGCGGCCGTGTGTCAGGCAGAGAGAGCCCCGGGTTGGCTGCTGGCGGGGGCCGGGACCTGATCCCAGCCCTGCCACTAACTCGCTTGTGTGATCCTTGGCGAGTCCCCTTCTCACCCCGGGCTGCCCTTTCAGCCCCTTTCCAAGCAGGGGCTTGAACACAGTGACCACCAAGGCCCTCTCTTGCTCTCAAACTCTGAATTAGGAACGAGGGGGTGATGAACCAAAACAGTCCCTGACCCTAAAAAATTAGGATCTGATGAAGACTAATCTCATCCTGGGATCCGAAGGTTTTGGCCTATCCTGGACGTACACTTGACGTATTGCAATGGATTTTAACTGCATTTCTCAAAGTGGGGAGCCTCCTGGCCCACTGCCCATCTGGAAACGATCGCCCCCTTTGAGTCACGATATGCGGTCAGGGGCTGCCCCTTTGGCAGTGCCTCCGCCACCTGCCTATCTACCCACCTCCCCAAAGGCCCAACAACTGTATACCTGCCTCCTACCCTGTAGGTTAGAGATGTCCCCCGGGAATGTAAATGCACCTTGAACCACAAGTGCCCCTGGCGAATCTGAGCAGCAACACAGCCCTCACCAAGGTTTTCACAGGGTTTAGTGGAAATTGTCGCTTGTGGGGCGTTTTCTAGTTCTGTGGCCACAGTGGTACCAGACCTGGCCTACACAGCACGGATTTCATTTGTGTTGCTGAATTAATAACCCTCAGATCCCCAAAGACCTAGCCAGCTTCTTAATGATAGATTTTGACTTTTTTTTAAAAAAAGAGCATCTATCTTTTTTGCAAAAAAATAGAAGGAAATGGGACAGAGCTCTGTTTAGCTTTCCAGCTCTTAGAGTTGGGCAGCTAAACAGCCCTTGGGTGCCAGTTAGGAATATTTTGCTTCTTAAATTATTTGGACAAGAATCTATATTCTTAGCTTTATGGAGTATTACTACCTGCTGCGTTTACCTTGCTAAGCCATCATCACCTATGTCATCTCAGTCATTCAGATCACCCACATGCGTCACCGCCATCACGTGACCACCGACCTCATCTCCCTCAGCCACCGGTTTACCGTCCCAAGTCCCTTGTCATCCTGATTCAGAGCCCGACCCTCATCTCCCCGAAGCTCTTCCCAACGTCTCACCCGAGACATTGTCCCCACCACTATAGGCCCTTTATCATCCCCAGCCCAAGACCCCCACTACCCTCGTCACCTTGTCCCTGATCACCCTGCACCCCGCAGTCCCGTCGCCCCCCCAGGTGACCCCCCCTCCCACCATCACCCCAAACCCCTAAAAGCTCCCCAACCTTCTCCACCCTCCTCCCCACAGTTCACCCTCAATCCCCAAACCCTGTCACCCTCACTCGCCACCCTTGTCACCACTGCCAGCCCCCCCGCACAGATCCCCAGCTCTCTTTGCCACCCCCCTGCCCTCCCCTCCCTGGCGCCCACCCCCGACCTCCGATAACCCTCACCCCAACCCCTTCCTCCTTCCCCCCTTCCAGGTCATTGGAGTCACCATCTCATCTCATCTTGAGTTCATTTTAAGAAATAAAATTTTAAAAAGACAAAAAAAAAGAACTGTTGGCACCGTCGGGCGGGTGTCTGGCACCCCGCCCGGCCTCTCGCGTGAGACCCCGATCGAGTCTGCTGACGGTTCTGATCCTGTTTTCCCCCAACGCCAAATTCTAAGATGGGACCCAATGATCAAATTCTCTCCTTCACGTTTTTGGTCTCCGTGCTGTAGAGAACAGCCACGTCCCGTGATGACAAGGAAAAGACCGCCCACTGTCTATCCTTGACCACGTCCTCATTGGTTCATCCGTTCGTCCATCATCCATTTGATCAGGAAGCATTTCTAAGCACCTGCTGAGTGCAAGGCGGTGCGCAGGGAGCTGAGGGCACGCAGGATGCGGGACTGCCTGGGAGGGTTGTGGACGCACAGGGGTCCCCAGGGAGCCTAGCACAGTGCAGGTAAATTAACGTGGGAGCGGAGAGTCCTGAACAGACGCCTCCCTTACAGCCTGACCATCTCACTTGCCCACGTGACAAATTCTCTCTTACCAGCACTTGAGGCCTCCCCACCCAAATTCCACGTGCCCACCGCACACATCCTGCGAGATCAGAACAGGGTCAGCAGCCTTGCCACGGTCTTCACGTCACGCAGAAATGGTCCATTCCATCCTCTATGGGGTAACCAGATTCTGCTGAGAGTGTCGGGATCCTTGACTGCCCATCCACACCTAGGGTGTGTTTGGAGTAGTGTGTAGTTTACGCCAATAACGGGGAAGCTTAAAGACAGCCATCAGAGACATGGTCACCAATTCGGTCCCCAAACTGAGAGAGGAGCAGGCGGTATGATCTTGTGACCAAAAAATTTCAAACATGTCAGTGATGAGCTCTTTTTAGCTTTCCCGTCTCTGCAACCAGACATGCAAAAAAATTTTTGTTTATTGAAAAAATAAACAAAAACCAAGGGCTACCTCATGCGTTGCTTTGGTTTGTTGTACGCGCCTGGCTGCACACACGTCCCTCCCTGCTGGCGGTCTCTGACCTGGGCAAGAAGGGTCAGGGGCCCACACTTCGGAGGGCCTTGCTCTGGCCCGATCCAGTTCTTCCCATGCAGCAGAGGAGGCCATAGGCCTCCCAGACCACACTCTGGGGCTGGGAGCACAGGCATTTCCTGCCCATTGGTCCCACCTCCAGGGCCTGCAGGGCCTCTTTCCTCTGTCTCCAATGGGTGGCTGTCTGTGGGTGGTGGGGATGGAGCTGGGGCGTGAGGGTGAGGGGTTCCGCATGGGAGCACTTGAGGACCCTTGAAGCAGAGCTGGGGGCCAGCTCTCCCCAGGTACCAGATTCCAGACCAGAACTGCAGGGCGTCCGAGAATTCCATGCTCACCTCTGGCCTTCCGGGATTTAGGGAAAGTGGGATTGCCCAGGTGAGGGAGCAGAACAGATTTTGTTTGATACTAAATTAGGGGGACTTGGAATCTTTTCATCGTTGGCACATCAGGAATATGGACCCTGTGTATACTCCTGACTTGGGCCCTCCCTGCTCATGACCGGACGGACCTGCCTCTCTTCTGGCCCCAGGCCGCAGGCCACAAGCATGTCCACTCAGCTCAGTAAAACCACCCATGGAGTGTCCACCCGAGAAGGGTCAGCCAGAGGCCCACCGAGAGCAAAGGAGCCTCAGTCAAGTCCTTTATCCTTGCTGGCCTGGCAGCCCTGGGGTGGGGTCTCCTTTCCATGTCCTCTCTGGGGCTGTCCTCTGCCAGGTCACTGCCACTGTCCACCCAGCTGCCCCTCCAGGCCCCAGGCCGCCTGAGTCCTCCCCTCTCGGACCCACCTCTTCTCTCCATGCTGCTCCGGTCCCCTGTCTGGCCACCCCCCCAACTTAGCTGGGAAGGTGGGTGGTGGGTGTCTCATCAATGCAGGAACACACAAGAGGGATGGCCAGGGCGATACAACCTCAGGGATGGATGCTGTTCCAGAAACTATAAAAAAAAAAATAGGATGGCAAAGCTGAGGTTATAAACATGGAAACTTCTATGAAAAGAATTTTATATTAATGATCACAATTCCTCAATATGGCCAGCAGGAA